ATCGTCAAATTTTACATATATAAAATACATATATAACATAAATATTAAAATAAAAAATTTTACGTTTCACTGGAAACTATTTTAAATTAATTTAAAAGTTACAATTTACTTTGTTATATCTTCACTTCGCCCGTCATTTTATAAAATGGATCGATAGATAAGGTGATCGATATACACGAGTACGCCGCGATCCGTCCAATTTTTTGCCGATCCATAAATCGACGTGATCTGATGATGTTACTATCTGGCAATAAAAATAAACGCTATAAATAGTGAAAACGTAAATTAAAGATGTTGAGGCGAGCGTAGGAAGAACTAACAATTGGAAAGCGAAACGAAAACTGTTCACAGAAATTCTCTACAGAATCATATGATAAATGTTTTTCCGAAAAACATGTTATTACATATATAATTCTTACAAAGTCATGTAATATCATGTATTACAACATATTATCTTTAAAATATAACATAATTATATATTTGCAACTATTTAGTTACATCTTAAAGATATAATTTATGTGCACCTCTCTCTTCCCGAAACGGGACATTCGTTGTATTCGCAGGTAAATGAGTTTCTCAAACAATTCTTGCGTGGCGCCGGTTCCATTCTGGAAACAGGTTTACTCTTATTTTTTAATCGCTACTTTGAGATTTCTTCGAGTCTGATCATATCATTCTTCTCTTTCCGGATTCGCGTTCGAATCGCGGACAAGTGAAATGCCGTCGACCAGAAGGACACAGAAAATGTAGGTCGCGTCTTATGGATCTCCACGTTCGCAAAATTATGCTAATTAAAACAAAACTTATTTCTTATTTTTTATATGTGTTAATATTAGAACCACGTTAGTTTCAAGATAATTTTTAAAACAAAACTGATCGGAAATTTTTGATATATATTATGTTCTTAACATATCTTATAAAAATATCTGTTCTGTAAAATATTACGCAATTGTTAATGATAAAATAAAAAAAAAATGATGTGTTCCAAATATTAGTGTTGTTTATTTTCTGTCTAGGTATATTTCATTCTAATACACTTGCTCTCAGTTTTTCATACTTTTAAGATACGTGATTTCGGAATTGAAACGAAACATGTTTATGTCTGTACGGATTAAAATGGAACGGAGAAGACTGAACAACTCATCTTCATAATCTAATCTCATATTCTAGTACCCTGAATATCTAAATATTCTAACGATCTAACGATGGCTGGAAAATAAGGAAGTGTGAATCAGCATGATGAGATTATAGATGGCTTTCTTATAACACTCGATTTCTAAAAGATTACGATGACAGGCGTCTTTAAGAAAAAAAATTAGGTAAGGTGTGATATTGGGTGGCGTTATGAATGAAAGTGGAACGCAGGTCATTCACGAGTATTCTTTTGATTGCGCTTCGATTCTTAACTCCTATGGATTAGAAAGGAGCGCACGTAAGGGTTATGACTACAAGACTCTCGGAAGATTCTGCGGCGAAAGTCTTTCGATGAAGATAGTCGGACGTTGACATTTTTGTCGCCATCGTATGCGCACCGTAACGTCGATGAAATTGAGCGTGACCTTTGTGAAATAGTTTATCATAATGATATACATATAGATAAACGTGAAATACTTGGAGATCGATTAAAAATACTTAGAGAAAGTTAATACAAATCAGTCACAGATATGCAGATGAATTATAGTATGAAGAAGGAATGCAGATGAATTATAGAAGAAAAATAAAATTATAATATATAACTATTTATAGGCAAAAATAAAATTGTTCAAAAATATAAAAAATAAAATAATTCTCTTTGATTGTTGTTGCAAGATCATCATTGAACTGTATAAAATACAAGATGAGGTACAAGAAGATATCTATATAATTGTAATTTATGACTATCGCTATGTCCGGCTATGTTTCATGTTTAGGATGAGAAGATCAATAGCTTGGCACGTCGACGTTGATATAAGTATCTTCTAATTGAACTTTCGAAAGTATATGCTAAAAGCATGATTAGTTTCTCCTTAGGAGACGTCATCATCAGTTAGTGTACCGATTATAGAAATATATGACGTATCATCTTGGAAAGATCAGTGAGAATCTCATTTTACTTCCGTGATACGCAAAAAGAAGCAACGTCATAAATGTGTGACTGAAATTATTGACTCTCTCTCCCACTTTATCTTATCGCAATTATCATGATTCTCGTTCGCCTTGTTTTTGAAAAAAATCTAGAAAATATATGCAAGTTGTGCTTTTAAATTGGCCTAATTTTTTTACCTTAGAATGCTAAGCCTTTAAAACATTACCAATAAACTTTTTGTTAGTACATAAAGTGGCAGTTTTCTCTTCTATCATACTTTACAATTTTTTCTTCTTTTTTATGTTTGGGGAAATATCGAAACTTATGGTGTCGCAAGATAATCGCAAGATAATCGGATTCATCGTTCCATCATCGAATGCAAGGGAATCCGTTACCATAAAAGAGTGTGGGACATTTTATGGTTATTTCTCGAGATTTCAGGAATGCGATCCAATTTACGATAACGATCCACAGCGTCGAACACACGTCGTACTTGTTCCCAGCTTCGAAGAGTGAAGACAACTGCATGGAGTGGATAGGTGCACTCGCCTTTGGATACCCTGTCATGGATACTGATGAGAGTAAGCCGATACTTACGGCTTCGAGACACGAATCCAAGAACCAAGGCCGCTATTATATAAAAAGCAGATTATGATCATGGCCTCTAGTGGTAAAAGTTAAATGTAAAAATTAATTATGTGATTATTTGTGTGCGAGAAAAATATGTTCCATGAATTCTCGGTAAGCAAATATCTTTTACATAACGATATCAATCTTAATTATTGTAATAATTTCTTCAATCTTTGAAAATATAAAACATTAATTTTATAATAGCATTATTTATTATTTCCTATGTTTTAATTATCTTTCGATGAAAGTACCCGGACGTTGACATTTTTGTTATCGTACGCGTGCACCGTAACTTCGATAAAATTGAGCGTGATCTTTATATAAAAATGGTTTATCATAATTACAGATAAGGGTGAAATCAAGACTCGATTAAAAAATACTTAGAGAAAGTTAATACAAATTAATCTCAGATATGCAGATAAGAAAAAATTCTATAGTAGTATATGTTTTAATTGTGTTCTTAAGAAACAATTTTTTCTGAAAGATATTTTAAGAAGATGTAGGATGAGGAAAGAATGTTTTGCTAAAATATCTAAAAATTTAGCATGGAGATACAAATCTGAAAATAATTTTGTTGGATTGAAATAATTATACATAAAACTGACGTAAGAGAATTTTAAATTCGCGCGATCAAATCGCCACAACAAAAGAAAGATGGGAAGGTCTTAATTAATTTCATTAAGTCATCTCTTTCACGTCTTCGCGCCTGGAAACGGCGATCGCCAGATCGATATCCCGGCCGGGAATCTGATTCCTTCGACCTTGCCTCCTTCTTCAGAGTATAGGCACGGTGGCACCTGTAAATCTCTGCTGCCCACCTCCTTTTAGCCCACGGACTTTGACAAAACGTACTGAACGTATTTGCATACCGCGCCTTTATCTCCTCCGGGACGCGTTCGCGCGCATAAATCCATATTCCCGTTTGCAGTAAATCTGCGGCGTCCGTCGCGGATGCGATTTCATAAATCACGAGGACCGAAGGCAAAACCCGCCTTCTAATTGAAAGAGGAGTAAGCCGACGCGGTCCAAGATAACTTCTGAAGAGAGAAAATCTGGGTTGTGCAATTTCCTTTATTCCAACGCTTTGGGCGATCAAAATTCGATATCTGCGATTTAAAAATATCGTAAAGTTGTTTCAAACTGTTACATTATTGTATTACAAAATTTATTTATTTTTAGAATTGAAATATCTTTCCTTCAAATTTAATTAAAAAGAAACAATGAGTATTATAAAATAAATGATTGATGAACCAAATACTTGTATTATAAATATTTACTACACATGTATGTATGTGTATATATATATTGTAATTTTTTATTAAATCCATAATTATTTTTTTTTAATAGCAAGACTTTTTATTGATCATTCAATAGATAAAAACCATTTACATATCCCACACTTTCATAAAATAATTTTGCATGAAAAGGATACCTTGTTGCAAACTGTTTTATTTGATGTACCAGTAGGAATAAAAATTTTGTGTTTCATCAGAAATAAGATATCTTATTGCCAAGTATATTTTAAGATATTTCTACTTTAAATAAAATTATGCTAAACAAGCTTGTACACAGACTTGTTTTACCTACTGCTTGCATAAATTTTTGCCGATCGAGAAGATTATTGCGTTTTCTGAAAAGACAAATATGAATGACTTTGGTAATTTTACCCCAAGGCTAGAGGTAGAATCAACGATCATTTTACAACATATAACCATAATTTTACCGCCGATCTTTTACGCTGTGAATTAATGCGTACGCACAACGCGATGGTGATTCCACCACATTTCACGCCATTATTTTTCACGCTTCCGAGGCTATCTATTTTAAACACTTAGCAAAGAAAGTGGTAGTTGGAATCCAAATAGCATGGAACATTCCAACAATATTGCGTTGCAAAATAATGGAAAAAATCTACATCTTTTTAAATCTACATCTTATTAAAATTTTATTTATTAAAATTTTTTATGTATATGAATTTTGAAATATTCTAAACTTCTCATTCTATAATTGGTGAAAAAATACTTTATAGACTTTTTCAAATTTCATAAGATTTCAAAAATTATAGAATAAGAAATCTTAAAATATTTCAGAGTTTACATATATAAGGAATTCTATAAAAGATGTAGACTCTCTCTTCTAAAATTCTGAATTTATATAAAAATTTTAAAAAATTAATTAGGCAGAAAATTATATAAAAAATTCAGAGACAAATTTTCAGCAAAGGTGTTTTTGTCAAATCTGAAAAGTACCGAAATAATATGCTATCGTACGCTAAATTCTTATGAAATCAATAAATACGTAACAGTTGAATTTTCTCACAACGTTTACTGACAAAAGTTCTTAATACAATCGAGTCTACATACAGTGTTGGTCGCAATTATTTTATTCGCTGCAATGCGCTGCAATATCTCATCAAGAGCGATGTTTCAAATAATAACGACAAATGGAGACGAGTCATATCAAAATGGAAACAACGTCGCAGGAAAAAATAGCAAGATAAAAAATACTTAATATAATAATCAAATGACAGCGGGGACTTTAATCGGTTTTTTTTTTAAGCGACCGCGGTATATTATGTTCTGTCGCAATTTTGAGCGAATTCGTAACGCTCATAAAAGTGAAGAATGGAAAAAGGAAATAGCGTGCGATGTAATCGATACTGATCGTCGCCCTAAAACACGTCGCGAAAGACTAGAATGATTAAGTATAAACGCGTCGGGCGCGATTGGAAACACGAGATGCACATACCTAACAACGATTAATAGCGAGAATTACTGTTACAATATTACGGCGAGTAATGCAGTTCGGAAAGGGCATCTCTTTTTGATTTCCGGCAAATATAATATTTATCGTAAATATAATATTTTTATGTATGTATATGTATATATTACGCAAATGACATAGTATGTACAAAATCGCGACGCAGAGCCAAGTCTCGTTGTGTCATCCAAATTTAAGGTGGAGAGCTAAAGTCTTCCTATAAATTGCCTTCCCAGAAATGATTAGTCGATCGATGTTGATCGATCAATCATCTATAGCTAGGTTCCTTTCGCTCGAAGTAATAAATGAATATCAAAAAATTAAAGTAGAATTCTCTACTAAAAATAGTGTCCGTTTTGATGAATTAATCGGAATACTTTTCTAATAAAAAAATAATTTATGTACAATACCATCTGAAAGATTCAATAAATGCTGTTTTTTCAATATGTATATTTGTCAAATATTTATCTATTAGGTCCTTTTTACATTTAAAGAAAAAAAATGTTGACGTACTATATTCTTAATTTGGTTTTTACACAAAGAAACACAGAAAAAAATAAGGTAATTCAAAACACAGATACTAGTGAGCAAATATTTAGGGGTATCCAAGGGGTTTATTATGATCCTTGAAACAAGGTGAAAAAAAATGACAAAAGTGAGCAAACAATATATTTGAGTTAATAAATGTTTAATGTTGAAAACAATTTTTCTATTTTTTATTCTACAAATTTTGCCATTTATTGAAACTTTTAAGCAGTGTTGTAAAATACAATATGCCTTCAAATCATCAATTGCGCACAATCATTACTCAATGCACACATTCTCGTTTATAAATAAAATTAATGAGACGAAATGTCGAAAGATTTACGAGCGACATATCGTGTATATCTAATTGTAAAAATGTTACTTACCCAATAACACTCTATTCTAGGTGGAATACTTGCATTTTTGCGGACTTTATAAACTTTCATTGCGCTTCAGCACCACGTTTATGTCATTTTTTTGCCATTTATCACAGTATCGCGTGTTACAGCGTTCCTGTGTTCTACGTTCTGCGTACTTCAGCAAGATAAAAATCGCATAATTAATTATACATATACCTCAAATAAATCGTAGAAGCATTAAATGATGGCAAAAAATTCATTCGTAATTATTACAAATGAGCGTAACGTTGCTGCCAAGTACACATCGTATTCACGTAATAATAAATTAACATCGCATCTTGCCATTATACTCTGCTATTGCACAACGATAATAAGACCCATGCAAATACATATACTGGACGAATTCGAATTTACGGACGGATAGCGATTTTTACGTGCGAGTCGGGGAATTTTGTACATCGAAAGAACAATTTTGCTAAAACATTACAAAATTTAGCTAAATACAAATCTAAAAATAATTTGTTTAAACTATCAAAATAATTGTAGGACGCTCAAGCTGATTGTTGGAATGTCAAAACTCTTTGCAACATTGCTTGAGTTTCTTACAATTATTTTAAAGATCTCTCCAACTATTTACAGATCTATATATATTTAGTTTTTTTAATTTTTAAAGTCCTCAGCAAAATCGTTATTTCCATGCACAACTTGATAATTTTCCGTTGTTCTAAGTAGAACAATTGGCGATTCCATTTTCCAGCGTATTTTGCTCAAAAGACAGAATATGTTTCATACAAAATTCCTACGAATTTCAGAGGTCAAAAGCAATAAGAACGTCCTAGAACCTCGTATTCGATCTCTCTAAGGTAATCTCAATTATATTTTCTTCCCGCGAGGGAAAGTCGCTTTTAAAGATCGAGATACATCAGAAAAATCTCCCTGCTCACTAATGCGTGCCAAAAGTAAGCCTCTCCACAGGATCAATTTCCCAGTGCGATGAGCCTGAGATTTCTTCCGGCGGTCTCTCTCAGTCGGCGCACTCGGAAGCGAAGCTCTCGAGGTCCACGTAGTGCCCGTTCATGTTGTCCTCTAGCAGTTGGGCGAGATCCCTGCGTAGGATCTGGAACTCCGGCCTGCGGTCGGGATCGGCGTGCCAACATCGGGATATCACCCTGAAGAGCTCGCTTCGACAGTGCGAAGGCCTCTCCAGCCGATAACCGTTGTGCACGTTCCGCATGACTTCCCGCGCCGTCATATCCGGGTACGGTGTTGAACCTGAATAGAGAGCAGAAGATGATGCGATTATTATGACGGGATGTCAACATAATAGATCGTAATAAGAAGTTATCGTCCATTGATTAGCGTACAATAGTTTAACAAGGAACAAAATGGATATTTTCTTTTCCTCTTCGAGCAAATAGGATATTCAAGATTATCGTTGTACGTGTGTATGTGCATCGGATTTTTTTTATTGTTATTAATTTTTTGTTGTCATTAAAAATGTTAAACAAGGATGAAACGATGCGAGCGTTGCAAACGTTAGGTGGAACGCACTCTAATTAATATAAGATGATAAAAGTGGAAGATTTAAAAAATTGTTATAAAATTTGAGTGACATATTTATATAGTGACATATATTTTTATTTATTTCTTTTTAAGTTAACGATTTAACGATATATTTTATAGATAATGTTCTTCTCTTCTTTTTTAATTGTTAATCGAATAAAATTAATTATATAAGTTAATTAAACAAATAAAATAAAATATATAACATGCGAGCTATGTTACTCATGACACCATTTAGCAATATCTCTGCACTATTAGCATAAATGTGTCTGTATACCCATATCCTTATTTTCATATTAAATAATAATAAGAGCGAGAAATGGATTCTTAGATACGATATTTTCTTAAAGGGCTTTCAATAAAAAAATAATGTTTATTCTAACAACAAGCTATCAAAACTAAGCAAGTCATTCAGTTCTCGAAACGGATGATGAAGATACCCACCTAAAGTGACGATCTCCCACATCAGAATCCCAAAGCTCCAGACGTCGGTCTTCGTCGTAAACAGGGAGTAGATCAACGATTCGGGGGCCATCCATCGGATAGGTAAGGCGTTTCTACCGTGTCTGGTCTCGATCACCTCACCGTCTTCATTGGCAAACCTCGACATGCCGAAGTCAGCGATTTTGCACAGCTTGTTGTGATCCACGAGAACGTTTCTGGCGGCGAGATCTCGGTGGATGATCTGCACAGAAAAAGTCACCGGAGGATCAAGTCACCGATGATCGATCGGCAGTCGTGAGGTGCATGTTCCATTACGTGTGCGATTGCTTACGGGCCGTTCGTATGACGGGGAATTACACGCTATTACGAGTGAGGTACAGCCAGTTGTCTCGAGAAAAACTCAGCCTTGAGTCTGAGCTCGACAAAACGAGATTCGCAGTAGAAGTAAGGACCAGTGCGAAGTCTGTGCGAAGACAAATATTGTTTCAGCGACACGAAAGCCTCGAGACAGTAGATTCAATAAATCTAACAATGTCAATCCGTCAATATATGCTCAACTATAACTGGAAAGCAAGGATATCTCAGAAGAATAAATAAACGGGAATTTTAATCGACAGATTTTAATCTTCCATGTGTAATAGATGGGAAAAACATCTGCGCAATTGCTTACATAGTTGAAAAATCCGTGAAAAATTGTAAGTATCCTAAACGGTCCATCCAAATTTGTGATATATAATTTTTATTAAAGTATAATTAATATTAATGGCGAGGCTACATGAAATCATGGCGCAATGCGAGTATCTCAATTTTTGTGATCAAGTTATACATACCTCCTCTTTTTTTATTGTTTTTACATTTGATAATATAAAGTGATATAATTTGATGTTGAATACAATTTGAAACCAATTACTGATTGATCAATTATCATTATTTTGAATAACTGCGTATCAATGAGAATGTTATACCCAGTATTCTTACATCATGCCACCAAACACATATAATTCGAATAATAAAAAAATGTTAAGATGTGTGTAACTTTCGATCGCGAAAATCGTGACATTCGCATTGCGTCATGATTTCATGTAGTCTCTTTGTTACTATTAATTATAGTTTAATTAACCGTTCAATGTGGCATTCGGTCAAATGAAGTTTCGCTAAACTACTCCAAAAGCCGCAATGAGAAACCAGGATGATAATTATTATACGCAACGAGATGATGCAAATACGACGTTACGAAACGTCGTATCAGCCGCGCTTGCCGTTGAAAATTCTGCTTGAATGCAGCGGCGCATCTAGGATGCATCCACGCATATTCTCTCATGCAGCTGGTACGGCACGCGAATACTATCATTTAGCGACTATGTAATTGTCTATTAACTCGAGAGAATAATTTTTGTTACGCCGTTTCCTGGAAGTTATTATACGGACGGAAACTGGTAATTCGACATTTGACGAGGACGATCGAGCGCTCGCGGGAGGTTTCTTTGTTTCCCTAATTGCCTATTAATCGTCAGGTGCATCCTTCTTCAAAGCTCGTCAAGAATACAAGTTCGCTTTATACAAGAATTTGAAATGGGAATGAAAAAATATTTACTCCGAGTTCTTTCACAACATTCTCGTTTTAATCGATATGCAGATTAAACGGAATAAATTAGCACGTCGGTTGCAAACTTTCCTCCCGGCTGTTTGGACAAAACGTTTTTTTTTTTTTTTTCGGATACCGGTTCGCATCGCGATATTTGTATCATACGGCAAATATTCCGATGTTATGTTAAATTTTATTAAATTTATCGTGGCTGCGTATTACAATCCTGAATATGTTATCGGAAGACAATTGATCACAAGATGGTCTAAGAATTTCATAATAAAATCATCTATGTACATTGAGAGAAAAAAAATGCAATTATAATAGTTTAACTATAATTTAAATAATCAGTTCTGGTATCAGCTGTATATTTTTTTAGTAGAATTATAAATATTATTACTATCACTAATATTATATCAGTAATAATAATTATAAAAATAAAACTTCTAATCATAATTATTTTATTACGCAATATAATCACAAATATCAAACACTTTTCTTTCATATCTGCATATAAACAGAAATACATACATTAAATACATCATTTTTCTGTTAATAACAACTATATAAAAGTTTAAAAATCAAAACTGAAGTTAATACTCATTTATAAAAATTAGAAATAAAATTATTTTTTTATGGAGACGAGTTCTCTGTAATTTTAGAGTTGTAAATATTTCCTTGATGACGCACGAATAACATAAAACTCTACATTTTATTACAAAACACAATATCTCAGTCATGAAACTAATCAAGTCGCATAGATTGTAAAAATGTTGTTGATAATTATTTATTGCTCTCGAATCGAATAAAGAAGTACTGAACAAGTATCCTCGAATTCATTCTTTATGAGATATAAAATTCAATCTTTGCCTAGTGATATAGATCTCCACATAGAAACGATCCTTCAACAAATGCAATGGTGGAAGTTTTACGACTGTGTGAAAATATTTGAGTTTAAACATCATTAGCGGATTGTTTGTCGTGCAGTCGATGCTCCGTGCGACCTTCCACAAGCAATGATTCAGATGTCCTCGAAAAAAATCTCATTTTTCATATTTTTTTTCGCAAAACACATAAAAAAGTTTACGCGAAATCTTTTTTTAGATCTAGCCTTAGACAGAAATAAAATTTAATTTCTCAAATAAAAATGACCGAATATAAAATTATGCTGGATATTGTTGAGATATTATTTCGAAATCACAAATACTCGGTGCAAAAATATGTTTTATGAAGAAAAAATATTAAAATCACAAAGCAATCAGCTACGGATATACAACTGTACATTACTATGTGAATTAATTTTTACATTCGCATGATCACATACAACTGCAATTTGATTTGTGTTTTAAATTACGCAAGAAGAATCATTCACCACATTTCTTAAGTAATAGAATATTAATAATCGTAAAAATTGTTAGTACTTGTAGCCATGTCGCAAGCAACAAACGTTGATTGATTCAAGAAACTGCACATTGTCACAAGAAATCTCGCATTCTAATTACTGATTGTAATTTACTAAAATCTTTTATTATACTTGATTAACCATCAAATGCATTATTCTCTAATGTAATTCTCTTTAAAATCTCTTCCTTTAAACGTATAAAAAATTATTCATATCTAAACTTATACTCCTTTGACGAATATTCGAGGTGATGTCCCGAACGAATCGTTCGGATGATACTTACGGCACAGAGAGGCCGTTAAATCGTGGGGAGATTAACGAGAGAGCCTCTATCTAAGCATTTTAAATAACTACGTACGTATCGATCGTTAAAGTTTATCGCTGAAATTTATCGCGATTGGTTTCCTCGCTTGTTTAGTTCTACCATCCTATTCTGTCAGCAGTATGTAATGCAAAAAAAAAAGAAGAAAAATATTGCGAGGGACGAACCGTCAAGTGATTGTCAAGCGGTCAAGCGAAACTATTTTTTCTCTTATAATAATGATCTACACCGAGAAGCTTGGAGAACCTTCGGTTCATAAATAAGCCATGCGAAATGAAGAAAAATTAATTAGTTACTGTTACATCGTAAACTATTTCGCATCATTGATGCAATGTCATTGAGGAGACATATCGCATTATATATACATTATATAATGCGAGATTTTATTATTTTTGTTGCTGGAGAGTATTTTTTCTCCTTGGCGAATGATAAATTAGTCATGTCGAAATCTTGCGATTTTTATAAGTAAACAACTCGGTTTAAAAAAGTAATACGAAGGCCTAACAATTTTGTAACATAATATCATCAAGGCTATTACCGATTTATCAATGAAATAATAATCGATGAAATGTGAAATTTTATGTTATTCTTATGACATCATCTCTACTAATAAAACATTATCATTTTTCTGAAACATTATTTATAAATGCTCGAGAATTGCGAAATTGTTTTTTAGTATTAAATAGATGAAACAAAGAGAATTATTTAAAACAATTTCACAGAAATTAAATATTAGTAGAATTGCATGAATAATTTTCGGTTATGCATTAAAATTTCGTTCGTCTATTATACGCATAAAGAACAAAAACGTTAAAATTATATTTATTTTATTTTTTCCATTTATAAAAAATAAATGTGAAAAATATATCACAATATTTTAAATAAATTTGAAATTATTTCTATAAAATTTATATAAAATTATAAAATGACAGAAAATGTTGTATAATAAGAAAATATATTAGGTGTTGGAATTAATTCGTAGCGTTTT